CTCTCATCTTTTTAAGTGGGAGAACTTGCACAATTGGTGGCTGACTAAATACTTTTTTGCCCCACTGTATATTATGTGTGTATATATATATATATATATATATATATATATACATATATTTAATTGTTTGATGAAAAGTATTGCTAGGGACAATTTAGTAGTCGCTGGATATTGGTACTAGGGACATGTCATTGGGTGTCTACTAAATTCTACACTCTTGTGTCCTGTGACCTTTGACCTCAGCAGTCTCTCTCTGTCTCTCTAGCGTCGCTGCTGAAGCTCTGGTACAGAGAGCTGGAGGAGCCGGTGATTCCTCATGAGTTTTATGAGCAGTGTGTCATGAACTACGACAGTCCTGCGGCTGCTGTCGACGTCGTCCTCAACCTCCCTCACATCAACAAACTGGTGCTCTGCTACCTCATCCGTTTCCTACAGGTCTGACTGACCACCTGTCTATCTATCTATCTGTCTGTCTATCTGTCTGTCTGTCTATCTGTCTGTCTGTCTATCTGTCTGTCTATCTGTCTGTCTGTCTATCTGTCTGTCTATCTGTCTGTCTGTCTATCTGTCTGTCTATCTGTCTATTAGGGGTGTAACGGTACACAAACATGACAGTTCGGTACATACCTCGGTTTTGACGTCACGGTTCGATATGGTTTCGGTACAACATGAGGAATAAAACTAATAAAATTGTTGGGGGTTTTTTTGTTTTGTTTTTATTAAACAATGGTTTACTGAACAAACTGCTCTTTCTTTAAATGCATTTAACTCTTTCCCGACATTGATGAGTTATCTCGTCTTTTACAAGAAAACGCTTCCTCACCAAGATGAGTTTTTACGGCTTTTTTTGGTTTTCACTGTTATACACTCGGGGGTGCTATTACGCATCTTCTGAACGAGTACAAAACCTCCCGAACAAAAACACACGTGAACAGGACGGAGAAACGAGCGATCTCTTATGTAAACAGATGCATATGAAAAATAATGCGATCATCAGCAATAGACAGCATATAAATGAAAACTGCATAATATTACAGAGTAAAATGTTGATCCAGGAAGTGGTATATGTCTGTGCAAGCTTTGGAGGTATTGATGGAAGCGATTTACTGGTTTTATGCTTTGATAATCGTACTGAATATCATCCAGATGTAGTTTTTGATAAAAATTGGATTTTCTCACCTTTTTGCTCAAAGTTATGCATTTTTATGAAACCTACCTATATTCAAGTGTTAATAAAAAAAAAAAAGAATGCTTTAAGCTAAAATAAAACAGATTTTTTTGTTTAAAAGTAGAGGCTCTGATCTTTATTTTGGTGTATTGCATATTCAAATATTCATACAGCAAAATATACTGGAGGCCATCAAATTTTAGTGAAAATCATCAAAATCGCTGGAGGTGGCTGGCAACTTTTTAAAAAAATGCGGGCAGGGAAAGAGTTAATTATAATTAACTTTTTCTTAAGGATAAAAATCTACCTCAGCTTATGGTCTCCAAACTATAGTGAGTCCTTTTACCTTACTATAAGATTGCAATTAACAACAGAGCCCAAACTTAAATTCAATGACTATTTATTTTTAACTATAATAATCGACACTCAAATTGAAAAATTGTATGCAAACATGTAAATTGCACATAATGCAGCATTTAAATTAACTTCTAAGTTATACAATTTCAATTTGTTGTCGAAATATAATAATTTAGCCTACAGAGTGGCTGTCATAACTTGTTTCATAAAATATTTGTTTAAACGCGCATTAAACAATCACTAACAGGTAAAGTGAAACATAATTAAGTTACAGTCTAATATTTCGCACAATGCTTTTCACTAGACTTCATTTCTCTAGCAAACAACAAGCTGTAGACATTGCTACATTGCTAACTTGCCTGAGGTAGGAAATGCTATGTGACATTTTGTTTACAAGCTGTTTAAATGACATCTCTCCCTGGTTGAAACACTTATTGAGTGATTACATGAGGGGTGAGATGTTCATTCATGTTTATTTCGCGTTAAAACTAGTAGTAAAGATGAAGGGATGATCGCGCTCCACACTGAGGCGATTATATCTAAATGTTGCTCTTTTCAGTCACTTAGCAGTTTGTTTGTGAAGTCTGTCAAACTACACTTTCATCTGTTCATCTCAAAACAATATTTAGAGACATGAAGAGATCTGTCTGTTTTCCATCACAGGTATTTGCTCAAGCCTCCAGCGTGTCCATGACTAAGATGGATGTCAGTAATCTGGCGATGGTGATGGCGCCAAACTGCCTGCGCTGCCAGTCGGACGACCCGCGGGTCATCTTCGAGAACACGAGGAAAGAGATGAGCTTCATGCGCGTTCTGATCCAGCACCTCGACACCAGCTTCATGGACGGGGTGCTATAGCACAAACACACACATTAGCATTCACACCTAACGCCCACACATGAATCACCCGGCAAACCTCCTCCTGTACATGACACAGTCGCGCTCGACTTCCACAGCGTTTAGGTCAAATCCACCATCCCCATGATTTCTGAATGTTTCTGAATAGATAAACCATCCGTCCTCACATGATAGTGACTGTCCTGCTTTGGTTTCTAGCGTGCATGTACGTGCCGAATGTGTTTGTTTCTGTTTTCTAACTCGACTGACTTGTAGACCAGTCCGTCTGATTTTATATGATTAATTTATTCGTTATTTATTTGAATAAGGGTTTGTAAGTATTGTACTGCCTTTTGAAATAGAAAACATCTGTCCTCACTGGTCACATGCTTGCGATCTCTGTGTGAGTGAGTGAGTGAGTGAGTGAGTGAGTGAGTGTGTGAGTGAGTGTGTGAGTGAGTGTGTGAGTGAGTGTGTGAGTGAGTGTGTGAGTGGGTGTGTGAGTGAGTGAGTGAGCGTGTGAGTGAGTGTGTGAGTGAGTGAGTGAGAGAGTGAGTGAGGGAGAGAGTGAGGGTGTGTGTGTGTGTGTGTGTGTGTGTGTGTGTGTGTGTGTGTGTGTGTGTGTGTGTGTGTGTGTGTGTGTGTGAGTGACAGTGAGTGACAGTGAGTGAGTGACAGTGAGTAAGAGTTCATTTATCACAGTTGTTTTATACACTATTGTGTACGTCTCACTGAAATGGTACAACGCCCCTCATAGTGAGCTACCTGCAGTAAAGGTGAAGTGTGTAAATGATGTGTAAAAATGCACTTTCTGAACTCTAATAGCTAATTGTTGAGTCAGAAAGTGTTTAACATCCAGAATATTACGTGCTTCACCTTTAAATTCTCACATATGCTCACACAAGCATCCAAACGGCCTCATTTACACACACACACACACACACACTGATTTGGTTTGGTGCTTGTAATGATCTATATCACACTGCCAAACACACAATATTGATACTCGGTGCCCATTCCAGCCTCCAGGAGGCGTATCGGTGAGAAACGAGAGACAGAAGAGAGACAGACAATAATGGAGGGAGAGATAAACAGAGGAGAGAATCTCACGAAGAAGTGGCCGGGTTATATTTCACCACAAAATCTAAAATAAATAAATAAAAAGAGGAAATGTGAATTTGAGAACCTAAATGTGAAAAACTAAGGGCTGATCATAATGTCATAATATAAAATGAAAAAATGAAAATGAAATGAAAAATTATCTGAAAAGAAAATAAAGGTCCATTTATATATAATACATCATGATTTAAAAATAGATATAATAATGACCATGGCCCAAATATTATTTTGAATATTTTTAATTGGAATTTAATTGGGTTGAACATATCGTCATGATATTGATTAAAAAAAAAATAAAAATAAAAAAAATGGGCTTTATAATTACCATAAATGGCCCAAATATTGTCTTGAATAGTTTCATTTGGATTCTGAGAGTTGAGCATATTTTCATGATATAAAAAAAAAATGAAAGAAAGAAAGAAATATGGCCCTAAAATGACTATAATAGCCCATATATTATTTTAAATAGTTTTATTGGATTTTGAGGGTTGAACATATTATCATGATATAAAAAAAATACCCTTAAAATGACCATTTTAACATATAAAAGCCACATTAAAATAAAATTAAAAATAATTTTAAAATAGCCCTTAAAATGACCATTTTAAATTATATATAAAAAGGCCCTTCATTTTTTTTTTTTTTTGGATTTTGAGGTGAAATATGAGCTGAACATGCTCTTGACAGACAAAGATGTTTGTATGTTTGGCTTCTCCTCATCTCTGCACCCTGATCTGTCATGGCCACACGTTCACGTCCTCATCTGTACAGAACAATGTGTAAAAATACAAATAAAAGCTAAAACGAAGGAAAAGAAGATAACAAAATAGTTACTACAGTATTTGACAGCAGGAGCGTTTAGGTTTGGATCTCAAAACTCATCCATTAGCAAAAACATAGATTAAAAAAATTATAAAAATATGATTTGAAATATGATTCTATGTCTGATGAAAAGGGAAGAAAATCCATGAGCAGAGCACTGTGACCTTCATCCTGAGACTAGCACACACACACACGCGCGCGCGACAGAGAGGATTATGGGAGATTGTGCTGTATGCAGAGATGTTTCTCGTCACAGGTTTACGCTCATGGTCTTATTACTGTGTTTATGGAGTCATGTTAATAAACCCCCTCTCCCTCCTTTTGTTCTGAGGTCAAAGGTTACTCTGGACGTTACGGTCGAGCTGAACATTGTTTATTAAACAGTTGAAAGGATTCATTGACTGCTGTCATCTTTTCACACACATTATTACTTTAAGCTCTTAGCAGATTACTTATGAGTACAAAACAAATTTGGATAAATTATTTATAGAAATGTTTGTTGTCATATATTGCTATTAAATATTAATACTATACTGCATATTAATATTCAGTACTGTAAAAGATTATTAAATCCACCCCCTCCCCTCTTCATTGAAGAATTGAAGACCCAACCACGACAACCCCACCTTATTTTTCAAGATTCTAAATTAATATAAGCAATAAATAATAATAATAATAATAAAAAACGTTACAATAGGTTAAGTATCGTGAAATGTAGTTTTTGCAAAATACCAAATTATTGCTGTCATTACATTTAAACGAATGGCAACATGGTCATTTAGTATCATTTAGTTGATGTTATAAGTCCTTGGAGGGGCTAGGTGTCCTCTATTTAAAGGTGTTGGGTCATCTGAAGTCTTCGTAAGAGGCTGGATCCAAGCTGGAGCTGCCTTAAAGGGGTCATATGATGTTGCTAAAAAGAACATTATTTGGTGTAATGAAATGTGGTTTAAGGTTCAAAAAACACATTATTTTCCACATACTGTACATTATTGTTTCTCCTCTATGCCCTGCCTTTCTGAAACACGTCGATTTTTACAAAGCTCATCGGTCTGAAAAGCGAGGTGTGCTGTGATTGGCCAGCTATCCAGTGCGTTGTGATTGGCCGAATACCTCAAGCGTGTGACGGAAATGTTACGCCCCTCACCATACTGTGATGCCATGTACCCTGGCGCGATGAGACAACACCAATAAAACGAAACACACAGCGCCTTCACGACATGGCGGCAACAACAATACTACAGCGAGAATCAAAGTTAAGCCACCTTTCTTTTTGGGCGGCGTTATGCAAATCTTCCCACATAGTGACGTAGAAATGTGGGGGCGTGTTTAAACGAGGCGTTTTAGGTAGGTGTGGACCAGTCTTAACTTTTATAAAGAATATCTCTTTGGATTTGAGACTTTAGTCTTTGCAACTTTACAGATCTTCTTTATGCACCAAGAGCTTGTAACACTCCAAAGAGAAAGGAACAATTGAAATCGCATCATATGACCCCTTTAATATTCTTAGTCATTTTCCCTGATATATTGGTGCTATTTTATGGAATGCCAAACCTGCCTAAATTAGAAATAAATATACAAAGAAAAGTAAAAAATAAATAAATTATTTATTTATTTTCACATTTATGTATTTATTTACGTATTTATTTCTTTATTTATTAATTTCCGCATTTATTTATTTATACATTTCTTCATTGGTAAGGTAATGAGGAGGGCGTGTTTTACCTCAGGAATAGTAATCGAGTAGGCGAGGAGAAAGCTTTGAGACCACAGTGACACCTTGTGTAGCCTGCCCTACATGACATGCCTGTTGATAGTGTGTGATGAATGAGTTAGATGGATAATATGGCCAAAATCTTATATCACTGGTTAAGTCATTTAATATCACCCTAACTGTACTGGGTGACATGGATACATATACTCATTATTTCCTACTTTTACATGCAAAAAATGTGACAAATGCTTAAAATACAATGCATATTTTAAAGATTCGGTATAGAAGGATCAGTCACAGCATCAGCTGATTATAATGGGTTCTCTCAGTGTAGACACGGCTTCAGATGCAGATTAATCACACGTTTTAGCCGGAGTCATCAACTGGAAATATCCAGAATTAGATCAAACAAAAGGTGTCAATGGGAACAGAGCTAGAGTATATGAAGAGTTCAGATGCAAAAGCCTATTTTTTTCTTTAAAATATTCCTTTTACAGTGAAAAATTACAAGAGTATTATTATTATTATATTTTTCTAGTTTATTTTACAGTGAAAGCTTACAATAGTATTATTTCTTGTGTTGTTTAATATTTGCATTTACTATTAACAATAACATTTATAATATAAATTATTATTTTATTAAAATATTTTAACAAATATATATATATATATACAGTATCTCACAGAAGTGAGTACACCCCTCGCATTTTTGTAAATATTTTATTATATCTTTTCATGTGACAACACTGAAGAAATGACACTTTGCTACAATGTAAAGTAGTGAGTGTACAGCTTGTATAACAGTGTAAATGTGCTGTCCCCTCAAAATAACTCAACACACAGCCATTAATGTCTAAACC